GATTGCTTGTCTATAAGGCTCTGTATCATCGAGCTTGTGTGTGTCAGTAAGATTGTCTGTGTCTGCATGTGAGTATACTTACTGTATAATAACTGGTTTACTCTGAAAGGACCAGTATTTTATATTAGAAAAAGCATAAACATGAATAAACATGATAAAAGCATACATATATCCAAAGTGGAAATGGAACATAGCAAACAGAGGAAGTTAGGGGTAGTGCCACAATATGGAAAAATATAGAATAAGCAAATAAATAAAAACAAGTAGGAAGCTATAGTGCAGCACATGAGTATATATATATTTATATTTAGAAATCCTAAGAGGAGCAAATAAAAGTCCAATATATGAAAGTTTTAGTATGGAGGTACACTTGCTTGTCCAACAGAATGCCTGCGTGATTCCTCAATGGGGGGTACCAGGGTATGTTCTGCAGTGGAATCCGTATGAAACAACAGAGACAAAAAGGAATAATAGGGTAGTATGTTCTATCTGAGAACAGCTAAAAAGTATAATAAGATATAGTCCTACTAACATTTTTTGGAGCTGTAACTAGCTCCAGTATGAATGGCATACTGTGGTACAATCCCCGTGAGAGTAGTGTCTTTGTAATATGAGGACCATAAAACATAAAAAGATAAAAAAAGGAAACACAATAGTGCTTTCTATTTAAAATATTTGAAGGTTAAGATAAATGAAGAACGTACTCACATTTACCAGAGCAGGCGTACTGCTCGATGGATAGGGCATGGGTGGTATAATTCCCACCAGGGATATCTTGAGAGTAGTACTCACTGGAGCTAAAAATCAGGTGCCAGGCAGTTAGGAGTAAAAATAATAAAAAATAGCAGTAATAATAAAATGTTTTTAAAAAAGAGTAGAATGGCACAATGTTAGAGTGTAAAATAAGCCAAAATACTTTTATTTTAACAAATATAAAACAGGCTAAAACAGCAATGAAGTAACCACAACGCATTTCGTCTCAGGGGCTTTTTCAAGTGGAGATAGAAACAGTGACCTGGCATGTAATGGTTTTTATAGGGAAATGTGGGTTTGATGATTTTAAAATTGGTGCCAAAATGGTGCCAAAATGGCATCAAAATGACGTAATCATTGTGATGTTAAATGTATTTAATTTACTTTAAGAACTTACTTTGTTTATTAGGTATAAGATAGTAGGTGATAAAAACACACAGTGGGTCAGCGCTAAATAACAAGAGGTAGAGTAAGATAAGGCAGCAACCCTAAGAAGGGGATCCCTCTCAACCCTTGAAAATCACATACAGAAATAGGGAAACAAATAGAGAAGGGCTGCGCCATAGAAAGAAGTACTTAAAATCTTGTCCCAGTAGTGCAAGATATATCACATATAAAATGTCTCTTATTAAAAGTAAATGCAGCTGTGGTTTCTGTGTTATTTGTACTTCAGGGATGTGGAAGGTCTGGGTCTGTTCAGTCTCCGTATGTGGAAAGAGGAAAGACAGAGCGACCTAAAAGTGCAATATGTCTGGGCTTGACGGACAACACATAAGAAGTAAAAATGTTGCACTCACATGTCAAAGAGCTATGACCAGCTCTAGTATATGTTGCATATAGTGGTATATGAGTAATTTTGCACAGCGTGGGAAAGTTCTTTGGAGTTTTCCCACGCTGTGTAAAACGACAAAGAGCACTCTGATTGGTTAGCTTGAAATCTAGCCAATCAGAGTGCTCTGTGTCATTTTGTACAGCGTGGGAAAGTTCTTTGGAATTTTCCCACGCTGTGTAATTTGACGCATAACTCTCTGATTACTTTCAATCCACCAATCAGAGTGTTGTTATGAGTCAAATTACAGAGTGTGGGAAAATTCCAGAACTTTCCCACGCTGTGCAAAATGACACAGAGCACTCTGATTGTTGGATTTCAAGCTAACCAATCAGTGTGCTGTGACAGGTAAATGTAGAGACTTACCTGTCAGTCTCTTCATTTACCTGTCAGAGCACTCTAATTGGATGGCTTAAACCCACCAATCAGAGTGCTCTGAGCCTAATTGCAGGGTGAGAGGGTAGGTAGTGGTTATTTTTTGGAGTTAGGGAGGTGACGGGGTAGCTGGGGAGGAGGACAGTAGGGCCCCCACCCACCGTGCAGGAGTGGGAGCCGGGAGGGGGGAGGACAGTAGGTTCCCCCCTCAATCTTATTAAGGGCCCCCACCCATTGCGCAGGGGTGGGGGCTAGGGGGAGAACAATAGGTTTTTATTTTTCTATTTTTTTACAGTGAGCAGCCACTGACTTCAATGGGGTTCGGTTTCGGGGTCAAGTTCAGGTCAAGTTCGAGCCCGAACTCAAACTTACTGATGAAGTTCGGCCGAACTCGGTGAATCCGAACATCCAAGTGTCCGCTCAACTCTAAATACAAGTATATTAAAATAAGCAGAATATTATTATGTTCTTGAGAGTAGAATTAATAAAAGGTCTTTAGGTAAAAATAGATAAAATGCCAGGAAAAATGTTTTAAGTAGATTATTGATATAAGGAGGTAGTGGGTTATAGTAAAACCAAAATCCTTTATTCAGTTTTAAAAATCTTAAAAAGTAATGTTCATAACGCATTTCACCGTGTAGGCTTTCTCAAATGGATTAATAACAGACAACCTGGCAGATAGGGCTTATATAAGGGAGAGGGTGGTTTGAAAATGCCGCCAAAATTACATCATTGGCTGTCCACCAATCAGCAAACATCATAATTAAATACAATAAAAATTCAATAAACAATAGTGCAGATTATTGGCAGGAGGTTTGGGGACCAATGCCAACATATTTGTTTTTTAAAATAAGCATTTAATAGTTTCGGGTGTTTGAAGCCGAGGCTCGTGACTTGTGTTACGTGCGCGGCTCTGTTTCCTGGCCGCTAGGTCTGATGGGGGATGTAGTTCTGAGGGTAGTCAATGGCAATTTCGGCAAAAACAAAGTGTTTTGCCGAGCTTAAACAAGGGTGAAATAGGGAACATGCAGTATGTAATGTTCCTACAGATGGATGGGAGATGTGGGAGGAGGGTACGTTAGGATCTTAGTGAAATAAATCAAATAGATTAGTATGTGTAGTGAATAAAATATGGCGGTTATCTTAGTTGGGGAAAGTAATCAAAGCAAATGCTATTAGCAGGATGAGGTGGAGCTCGGCCGCCATATTTAAAGGGGAACATCCTCATAACAGTAAATACACATAATATACAATATAATAGTTAATTTAAACCATACAAAAGGTTAAATAGAGTGGTTGAATTGGAAATGAAAACATTAAAAGGGACAAGTTGGGATAAGCAAATAAAAACATAAAAAGTAAGTAGATGAGAAAATGGATAGAAAATATAGACGTCAGTCAGTGGACTAGACATGGTATTAAGAGAATTTCAGATCTAGTTGATGAAAATAATATTATGTCCTTTAACGATCTTTGCACTGTTTTCAGTATCCCATTATCCCAGAACTTTAATTTTATAAGCATAAAAAGCTTCTTACATAGAGTCGTACCTCATTTGAAAGAGCGTTCTCCAGCTTTTAAATTGAATAAACTGATACATTCGGGAAAAAATACAAAGTTATTAACAAAATGCGTTGAGATATTCGTCCTCCAGCTAAGATTAAGTGGGAAAGGGATCTGAAAATTGAAATTGATCTAAGAGATTGGGACTATGGCCCTTCAGTCGGTATACTCTACAGTGCATTGCCTAAACGTTGTGGAGGCACATTACAAATTATTAAATAGATGGTATATGGCAACGGCAAAGATACAAAAGTTTTCAAATTCAGAAAGTCTGGGGTAAGGGAGATTTGGTGCAGAAGAAGCAGATGAAATACATATATGGTGGAACTGTATACTGCTAAGGAGAGCATGGGATTGTTTTTTAGTTGAAATTAATAAAATATTGGGCATTACACAAAAATGGGCACCAGAAATGGTACTGTTCATCTAAAATTACCACAACTAGCGAAAGATGAGAAATGTTTTTTTAATTCACGCACTGATGGCTATTAAATTGTCTATTGCCAGGAATTGGAAAAAGACGATAATAGATTCATGGCAACAATGTAAAGAAGCCATTATTCATCAATGTAAGATGGAAAGAGGAATATGTACTAATTTCTGTATTAGTACGGAGAAATATAAAATTTGGGATAATTGGATTAAGATCCTTGAAAGACCTTTATCAGTCAAATGATTGACACATGTAGCAATAAATAATGAATTTTTGAGATAAGGATAATAACCCCTGGTTAGGGTAAAAGCTATAACCCATAAATACGCTGTTTTGATTGTGTTTGCATGTTTTTATGTCTTATATGTAACACTGGATGATATGTTATAATCATCTTTTGTTTGAGTAATTATGTCCGTAAATTGTATATTTTTGTATTGTTATTGAGAAAACCAAATAAAATATTTATATAAATAAATAAATAAAAAGAAAGTAGATGGAAGTGGTTATGGTATTTGACCATAAAATCTAATTAAAATGGGAGATAGCTACTTTGAAAAAATATATGGATGAGCGTATCACTCCCCGTGATCTAAGGCTATTTAAATCACCTGCCTCAGACCAAGAGGACATGGAATTCATGAATGAATGGAATAACAAATTAGAAATGTGCACCTTTGGTCTCATGGAAACATTCATAATAAGAAAGAGCAAGAAATTGTCTATGCTGGACATAGAGATTAATGACTTAAAAGATAAACTCCTTCTTTCCCTGAGACCAAGGTGTACAAACAAAATGCCATACTAATTCAAAGTAAAATCGAAAATATTGAAATGGATACCAAGCATCTAAAAGTAAAAAAATACATTAGAGACAAACAAGACTACTCAAATAAGCAAGTCAGAACTTGCCACCTTAACAAAACATATGTTTCCGACATAGTCCCTACTAGGGGACAAGACATTGAACCAACTTACCAAAGACACCCCCACTACCGTACAAACAGATACGAGCCTCAAGACACTTTTAACTATCGCACCAAACCAATACGAAAACCTTCTCCCCACCTAAACCAAGATTCCACAAAAACACAAACAAACCACCACTACGCCCCTTCATGTAATCAATACCAATCCACAAACAACCAATACCACCCATCACAATACAGATACCGTAAGACATCATATCGAGCACCAAACAAACACATATCATCCCCTAGTTATTACAATGGACCAAGTTCAAATGGGAAACACTAATCACCTAAACCACAGAGATCACGGTTCATACAGAAAAAGAATGAAGACTACTCAAATCACTCTCACATTTAATCATCCAAACAGATATCAGTTATTATCATTAGACTCTGAGATTGAGAATGATTAACATTTTTTAGAAATCCGAGCCCATCCCAACACATTTGCACAAACACCATACCCACCAAGAGCCAAAAAAAAAGAAAATTAAATTTAAGCATAGAGGAAGACGAAGTGGCAGACGAACACAAGAACAAAAGATCAGAAAGACAATAACTGTACCCAATGAAAAAGAATGTGGAATTTTTAATTTGTCACAACATTTTTTAACCATCTCACAAATATCTGTTCTTAACAAGGGTCTCAAATTTGCTCCCACTAACTCTTTTAAACCATTTGAAGCATTCCTGGCTGTTGAAAAAATGAATAAATATATTCCACATAACTTAACACAACAATAAAGGATCGCATTGAAACAATTACAGGATGATAAAAGTATAGTTATCAAACTGGCAGACAAAGGTGGAGGGTTGGTTATATTATCCAGTGAAGCTTGTATAGAAGAGGCTCTTATACAATTGACCGACTGCAATGTGTACGAAAAATTACCATCTGATCCCTCATCTAGTATTCAACAAATTTTAACTACATTTTTTAAAAAAGGTTCTGAGTTACAGATTTTAAACAAGCAGGAGTTCAATTACCTAAACATTAAATATCCAAAAATCCCTGTTATTTATTTCCTACCCAAAATTCACAAAGACGAAACCAAACTCCCCCTTCAATATATCTACAGCTTCTTTTTCAATAATGGTGTTAGTGGGGGCCTCATGTACACTAAAGCTAGGCATTCTTTTTCAATGGCCGCATAGCTGACCTCCCTGGGCAACAATTTTCGGCTCAAATAGGCTACAGGGTGCTCCCCCTCGTCTTCTCCGACCTGGCTTAAGACTGCCCCCAGTCCAAACATTGAAGCATCCGTGTGTACAATGAAATGTTTGTTAGGATCGCGGCAGCGAGAACAGGTATGTTTATAAGAGCTTGCTTCAATGCTTGAAAGGCTGCCTCGCACTCCGGGGACCACAGGACCTGTCGGGGTTCTTTTTTGTCAAGTCCGTCAGGGGTTTGGCCAGGGCGCTATAGTCAGGGACAAAGCGTCTGTAGTAGCCGGCTGTCCCTAAGAAAGCCATAACTTGCGTCTTGGTACGGGGGGTGGGCCAGTTGGCAACAGCCTAAATCTTAGCGGGCTCCGGCCGCTGTTTTCCGCATCCTACCCGGTGGCCCAAGTACTGCACCTCCGCCATACCAATGTGACACTTGTCAGGCTTCAAGGTCAAGCCGGCTGCCCAGATTCTATCCAGTACTGTCCCTACATGTTCTAAGTGGGCCTCCCAGGTTTCAATAAAAATTGCTATGTCGTCCAGGTATGCACATGCATAATCCTGGAGACCATTTAGGATGCGATCTACCATCCATTGGAAAGTGGCTGGGGCATTCTTCATCCCAAACGGCATAGCTCGGAACTGGTATAAGCCGAACGGGGTGACGAAGGCCGATTTCGGAATGGCGTCCTCGGATAGGGGAATTTGCCAGTAGCCCTTACATAAGTCTATTGTTGTCAGATATTTCCCCCTAGCCATCCGGTCCAACAGTTCGTCTACCCGGGGCATCGGGTAGGCGTCTGTGACAGCCTTATCGTTGAGTCGTCGGTAGTCTATGCAGCCGTCCCGCTTTGGCACTAGCACTACCGACGAAGCCCAAGGACTTTCGGAATGTTCAATGACCCCTAAGCGTAGCATTTCATTTATTTCCCTCCTCATCCCTTCTCGGACTGCCTCATGGATGCGGTAGGGGGGCTGCCGCAAGGGAGCCTAGCCTGGGGTCTCCACCCTGTGGACGGCCAGTCTCATGTACCCGGGCACCTGAGAGAACGTAGCCTGTTTGGCTTCCAGAAGGGTGCTCGCCTGGGCCCGTTCTTGTGGTCCCAGCCATTCCCCCAACTGTACCAACTCTATAGCCCGTACCCTCTGTTCGCCCTCCAATAGATCCGACAGGGGTAGGTGTCTAGATCCTCGGATGGTGGTGCACACATGGCCGCCACCTCTTCTTCTCTACCCTTGTATTCCTTCAGCATTTTGATGTGGAATGTGCGCTTTACATTCTCATCATCACAGCTAGCTACCGTGTACGTAGTGTCACATACTTTCCCAATAATTTTGTAGGGTCCCTGCCAGGCAGCCTGTAGTTTGTCCTGTCGGACTGGTTTAAGTACCATAACTCGCTGTCCTACCTGAAAACTATGGTGCCTGGCCTTCCGGTCGTACCATACCCACTGGCGCCGCTGAGCCAACTGGAGGTTTTCACACACCATCTGGGTCAACGCTTCCATACGGTCCCTCAGTTCTAGCACATATGGCACCACCGGGGTCCCTGCTGACTCTGTGGCTCCCTCCCAATGCTCCCTAATCAGGTCTAGGGGTCCCCTCACTCGCCTCCCGTATAACAACTCAAAGGGGGAGAACCCCGTTGATTCCTGCGGGACCTCCCAGTAAGCAAAAAGGAGGTGCGTCAGGAATCACTCCTAGTCCCTGCAAGCAGCCGTGAAAGTCTTCAGCATCTGCTTCAGAGTCCCATTGAACTGCTCGCATAGACCATTGGTCTGGGGATGGTACAGGGAGCTAGTCAGGGGTTTTATCGCGCAGACCTTCCACAACTGCTGGGTCACAGCGGCAATGAACTGGGTATCCGCCACTGTCTCTGCCTCAATGTTAGACAATGCTACTGCTTCAGGATATCTAGTGGCGAAGTCGACTAGAGTGAGTATGTACCTTTTACCTGAGTGACTGGGATGAGCTAGGGGTCCTATTAAGTCTACAGCGACTCGACTAACGGGTTCTTCAATTATGGGCATTGGAACCATCTCAGTTTTAGGGTGGTCACCATTCTTACCCACCCGCTGGCATACTTTGCACGTTTGAGATTCCCGGCCATAAGAAGTTTTGGGTTACTCGGTACGCCGTCCGTCTAATCCCTAAATGTCTGGCTAATGGAATATCGTGCCCAATCCTCATCAGCTCCTGCCTGTATTTCTGGGGTACCACTAGCTGATGTTTTTGCCTTGGCCCCGGTGCTTTGGTTCGGGAATCTGTAAATCTATACAACCGGCCCCCCTCCCACTGTGTCACTAGTAACCCCCTCCCTCACTCTGTCACTAGTCACCCCTTCCCTCACTCACTCTGTCACCCCTTCCCTCCCTCACTTTGTCGCTAGTCACCCCTTCCCTCCCTTACTCTGTCACTAGTCACCCCCCACTGTCACTAGTCACCCCCCCACTGTCACTAGTCACCCCCTCACTGTCACCACTGTGTCACTAAGTCACCCCATAATCACTAGTCACCCGCTGTGTCACTAGTCATCCCCCACTGTGTCACTAAGCACCCCCCACTGTGTCACTAGTCACCCCCCTGTCACTAGTCCTCCTCACTCTGTCACTAGTCACCCATTCCACTCCCTCACTCTGTCACTAATCACTCTCACTCTGTCACTAGTCACCTCTCCCTCACTTCTGTCTAGTCACACCCTCCCTCACTCTGTCACTAGAGTGAGGAATGATAGTGACGAGGTGAAGGAAACTAGTAACAGAGAAAGAGTGATGACAGAAAGTGAAACAAACTGACGACAGAGTGGCCGAGATGACTAGTGACAAGTGAAGAAAGGAGTGACTAGTGACAAGTGAGAAAATGATGATGTGACAGAGGAAGAGATAAATGACTATCACCACCTCCTTCTTTCTGTCACTAGTCACCCCTCCCTCACTCTGTCACTAGTCACCCCTTCCTTCCTTTCGGCCACTAGTCACCTTCCCTCACTCTGTCTGTCACCCCTCACTCTGTCACTAGTCACCTCACTCTGTCACTAGTACCCCCCTCACTCTGAGCAGAGTGAGGGAGAAACAGCAACAGTGACACAGAAGAGGGTGACAATGTTTAATGAGGAAAAGGGTGACTAATGACAGAAAGGAAGATGACTAAGAGACAGAGTGAGGAAGTATTGTTAATGACTAGTCACCCCATCCCTCCTTCTGTCACTAATCACCACCTCCCTCACTCTGTCACTAGTCACCACTTCCCTCCCTCACGCTGTCACTAGTCACCCCCTCACTCTAGTGACAGAGTGAGGGAGGGTGTGACTAGTGACAGAGAGAGGGTGTGACTAGTGACAGTGAGGAAGGGTGTGACTAGTGACAGAGTGAGGGAGTGTGTGATTAGTGACAGAGTGAGGGAGGGTGTGACTAGTGACAGAGAGGGAGGGGGTGACTAGTGACAGAGAGAGGGAGGGGGTGACTAGTGACAGAGTGAGGGAGGGGGTGACTAGTGACAGAGTGAGTGATTAGTGACAGAAGGAGGGATGGGGTGACTAGTGACAGTCACCACCTCCTTCACTCTGTCACTAGTCACCCACTCCCTCCCTCACTCTGTCACTAGTCACCCCCTCTCTCACTCTGTCACCAGTCATCCCTTCCTTCCCTCACTCTGCCACTAGTCATCCCTTCCCTAACTCTGTCACCAGTCATCCCCTCACTCTGTCACCAGTCACCCATTCCTTCCTTCACAGTGACAGAGTTAGGGAGGGAGTGACTAGTGGCAGAGAGAGGGATGGGGTGACTAGTGACAGAGTGAGGAAGGGGGTGACTAGGGACAGAGGGGGTGATTAGTGACAGAGTGAGTGAGGGGGTGACTAGTGACAGAGTGAGGGAGCGGGTGACACAGTGAGAGTTAGGGAGGGAGTGACTAGTGACAGAGAGAGGGATGGGGTGACTAGTGAAAGAGTGAGGAAGGGGGTGACTAGGGACAGAGGGGGTGATTAGTGACAGAGTGAGTGAGGGGGTGACTAGTGACAGAGTGAGGGAGCGGGTGACACAGTGAGAGTTAGGGAGGGAGTGACTAGTGACAGAGAGAGGGATGGGGTGACTAGTGACAGTCACCCCCTCCCTCACTCTGTCACTAGTCACTCCCTCCCTAACTCTCACTGTGTCACTGTGCATTGGAGGAGCCTGGTTGCCCGCCTGCTGCCTTTAGACTATGTTGAAATGCTTGATTTTCTCCTGCGAAGACATGAAAGCCGGGTCATTCGGTGCTTGCCCTGTTTGAGCGGTGATACCCCAGATAGCTATGCCATGGAGCCCATTCATATAATGAAAGACTATGGGAAAGACTTTGGCTCCATGGCAATTGAACTGTATGTGTGTGGTCTGAGAGCCATTCATTAATAATGTGTGCTCAGACCTAAGCTATCTGGGGATATGTTGCATGTCTGTATTTTATGTAATAAATGTAACCTTGTGTATTTTATTGTATTTTACTGTCTTTTTACTGCCATGTGCTTAATGGAGTTTTGCCTCTGTCCTTGGAGATAATTGGATTACTCCCCAATTATCTCCAGGATAGAAGACTCTGTGGAACTGGTTTTGGGCAGAAAAGCCATGCTTCATTTGGTCACAAAGGACTTCAATCTATCTTTTGAACCAATGGACCAATTTGGATGATTTTTACATATGTTTGTATTTGGAGTATGCTGATTCTGAAAATGTTTTATGTGAATTTGATGCATACTTTTCAAGTTATGAATAATGTGGAAAAACTGTATTTCTCTGCCGGTGATAATTACATTACCCATTGTGTAAGGTAATTGTATCACAGGCAGAGGGAAGGATTTTGTGTGGGAATGTCTGAGTGTATTGTATGTGTTTATTGGTGGTTTTCCAAAACCCTGTGGGTGGTACTAATGTGTATATAAGAACAATAAACCCACAGCTCTGACTGTACCTGCTTGACCCTCAAAACGGAGCCTTGTCTCGTTCTTGGGGGGATGTATTGTATGCTGTTCCAGTTTGACTGCTAGGAGTGTAAACCTATTCGTATGATTTTTCCTATTCGGCTCTTTACGGCATTCATATGGTTTCCTGTTCGGCGGATTGGTGTTCTGCAGTAGCTGTGCCTGTGTGTGTCTCTGGAAGGGAAGATCTACTAAACGGAGGTTTAACCCTTTTATGCCTGGGGGTGCCGTTACAATCTCCAACACTCTTCCACCTGTCACCTTCTCCCTCACACACTCTGTCACCTGTCACATATGCATTCACACCGACACTATATACAAAAAAGCATATGTAGTCATCCAGACATGCACAAGTGCATTCACACAGACTCAAATACAAACATGCATTGATACAAAGGTCTTCACAATATACACATCCAAAGGAATGCCGTATTATGAGTTATATTTAACATTTATTTAATAAACATATATTTGGCCTTCAAAGGGCCTGGGATCTAATTTTGCCCGGGGGCCCCAAAGGCTCTCAGTCCGCCCCTGGTGTGAACCTCCTGGTTAGGTGTAGGCATATAGGTCGGAAGTAAGTGGACCTAAGTCATTTCCGAGGATCACATCTGCAGGCAAATCCTTCATGACCCCCACTTTCACAGTTCCAAAACCCACACCCCGATCCAAATGAACTTTGGCGGTAGGAATCCTGTAGACGGCTCCCCCTGCTACCTGTATAGTGATGGATTTGCCGGGTGGCTCGTGGTTGTTAAACAAGTATCTCTGTACTAGGGTGATAGTGGCTCCTGTATCTCGTAGACCTTGTACTGTCTTGCCATTAACCATCACTAGTTGTCGTGGTGTTGTCGATTATCTTCGCTGTCGGCCTGCACCGGGTTGACCTCATGAAGGAACCTCAAGGGCTCCTCCCTGGTTAACTCTCGGGCCTCCCAGGTAGAGGACACAGAGTAGTCGATGGTGTGCACTGCTGGTCGGGAACTGGTACCGGATGGATGATTCCACGTAGATTGGGTAGGTTCCATTGGGCAATCCCTGCAGTAGTGTCCCACCTGCTTGCACCGGAAACATCTGGGTCTCGTAGTCTGGGGAGGTCGACTAACAGCTGCTAGGGCTCGCTGTGGTGGTGGATAGTTGCCCCCTGACAGTGGTGCTTGTGGCTCAACCCGTGCTGGTTGAGGTCTGAGGGACAGTTGTTCTGGCTTGCGGGCATCCGTATATTCATCTGCAAGCCGGGCTGCTTCTTGCAGGGTGAGGGGGTTACGATCCCTCACCCATTCCTTTACATCCGTTTGTAGCAGCGAGAAAAACTGTTCAAGCAGCACCAGCTGTAATAATTCCTCCAGGGTGGTAGCTTGGCATCCATTCACCCAGTGGGTGGTTGCCCGATGCAGCCTACAAGCCCACTCCGTGTACGAATCGATTGCTGTCTTCCTGGAATTTTCGCCGGTATGCCTCTGGGGTCACTGCGTACCAGGCTAGGAGGGCTTCCTTCACCTGCTCATAGCTGCTTATGTCCTGATAAGGAATGGCTCTGAATGCATCAGCTGCTTTGCCAGAGAGCTTTCCAGCCAAAATTGGAACCCGTTCCCCTTCTGGTATCTTGTGTAGGGCACATTGTCTCTCAAAGTCTGCCAAATAGCCATCAATCTCGTCTGTAGCCTCCTCAAATGATTTGAATGCACTGAAGGGAATTTTCCGCGGTTCGGGGTTAAAGCTGGAACTGCTTGGTGCGACCGCTGTAGTTCTCTGCACCTCCACTAAGCGGATTTGTAATTCCCGTCGCTTATTCGCATTTTCATTCGCACTGTCAATTATGCGAAGGATGATCTCTGGCGCATGGTTTGGCCCGAACAGCACCAGCCGTTCCCTTATTTCTCAGTGCCTTTCGCTTTCTTCTACACGTACAGACGGGGTTGCAGCAGCCACGCTTTCCCTGTCCAGCTCCATTAGTTCACTTACAATACAGCGCTTAGTCTTATTGCTGCCGTTGCCCCCTCGAACCTGCAATAAGTATTTCAGGGTGTTGCGCTTGAGCTGGTTGTAGTAAGCCTCCATGCATGCTCCAGGTTCAGCCTTGAATTATAAATTCATGAGAAAGAGACGATCCCGCCGTTGCCACCAATTGTGATGATCCAACCCTCTCTGACCGTCTTGGGTTCCCTTTCTCCGAGTAGTTACCACACAAAACAACAATATTCATGTAGTAAAACCAGTCCTGCTCTGAGGAAAAACAAAATGACAGTTAAAAAGGGTCAGACAGAGTTTGAAAATATGAGTTATTAAGGGTTTAAACTGGTATTCTAAGGGGGGGGAGGGGAGTACAAATCAGTCAAACTAAGTACATAAAACAGGGGTTTTCTTCACAGAGAGGTTTGTCTGTATTGAGTAATTCTGCTTTAATGTCAGTAAAATTCACCCACAATCACACACGGAGTGATACACAGAGCAGTGGTTGCTCAGTAACAGGATCCGCATACACCCAGTTCAATTGGGTGGAGCTAACCCTGTTGTGATGCTCCGCCCACACCCAGATCAGTATTACTGGCTCCTGATTCCCACTTCAACAATTTACAGTTAAATATCTTTAATTATATTAATAAATCATTCGATAAATTCTCAGCCAGGTATTATCCTCATGTACCCTGAATATAGCATGGAGAGGCTCAGTGAAGGTGGCAGTGAAGGTGTGTAAGTGTCAGATGGGGTCACACAGCTCATAAAAGGACAGCCGCCCAGCCTCATAGTCCAGGAATACTCGGAATCTCCGGTTGGAAGGGTGGTGAGGTAACAGGAGTCTATTACTGTCATATCTAACAAAATACTGATTATCATCCCACCTCCACAAACCCCAGGATTTGTTATTAACTCCAATCCATGACTGATGTCCTTTCCTGTCTAAACTGGCATAGGCCATCTCCCTGATATACTGCGCTCTACTTCCCAGTAATGTCGCCCTGATGAGAAACTCCTGGAACTTAAAACCTGGTCAGACTGAAATCTCTCTGGTGTTTCTGGGCGACTCTGATTTATTCCTGACTAGGATACAGTTTTCATATCAGCTGATACAGTTACATTGTTACTTGCTGTGTTTATACCCAGTAAAATGTCTGAAGCCATGTTTACACCCGGTAACATGTCTGAAGCCGTGTTTACTCCCAGTAACATGTCTGAAGCAGTAATATATTAGCCAGTACATGACGCTGTTTCTTTACTCCGGTCACAATCCCAGCTAAGCCTGAGTGTAAAATCACTGAGATCAGACCCACATCCAAATCCCCCACAGCACGGACCTTTTTATCATCTCTCTCTCTGTCCTCATCTCACTCCTCAGTATTACAATAGTCAGCGCTGTCTGATTTCCGTCCTT